TATACAGATGCACAAAATACTGTAGTGTGATAATAAATACAAAATCAAGAAGATGCATGTTGACACATAGGGAGGTCCACTTTTTCAAGTCAAATTCTTGCCTTTGAAATTCAGTCTCGGCCATTCATTCTTGAATATCATCTTTCCACATAGGCCTACTTCAAAATTACGTTTAAAACATTTCACCAAAATTGTTGGGCTAAATACTAAGATATAGCATGGCCTTGGTTTAGAGCGTTGTAGTTGGCCTAATAGGACTCGGCTAGTAGTAATACTAGACTTAGCTTAGGGGTAATAATAGCATTTATTAAATAATATTTATATCATTTTTATGGTCTGTTTAAAATACAGTAATAGCAGATGACAAATTAGCAGATAGCCTACATAGGAAACAGACGTCGTTGTCATGTTATCCAGTAGCCTACGGAGACACTGACTGAGCAATCTTCTAAGCTAGGCCCAAATAAATTGGTTATCTGCTGCGCGGATAATACACCGAAGCGCTTGACAAATCGCATTGGACCTGCCAAAAGAAGAGGAGTAAGTAGACCTAGCCTAGATCCTCCTCCAGTTTCTAAGTCGCATCTTTATTCTGTTTTAAATACACATAATAATATACTTATCTTTTAACTTCGATAAACTTTTGGTTGGACTGTGACGGCATTACTCAGCTGCAAGATAAAAAGCTGGATTTCTCAATGGTACTTTGTTTATAAACACATCACACCGCATTGCCACGATTAGGGACTCCCCAAGGACTCCCCAGTAATGGCGTCGACAACAGAGGGCGCCATTCTTCTTGGATAGGTCTATAGATAAAGACGTTAGCCAGTGCAGTTGTGCGAGGTATCGGCTGAGATTTGTGGAGTACAATTCAAAAAACAACTATAGGTTTACTAATGAATTATTGTGATGTTAAATAGACAATGTTAGCTATCAAAGAGCGACGTTGTTTTTCATTGGGGCCTTCGTCCCTTCAAGGCTTGGCCTATACCATCCTAACTAGTCTAGGCCTAGAGTAGGATAAGGCTAGCGCGACATGCGGACGTTGGTACGAGTAGGTTAGTATACAAACGTCGCGTAAAGTAATTGATTTTACCGGGCAGAACGAAAGAAGGAAACTCCGCTTTTCAGTCGTCTTATTAGGCAGTCGTTTTTTTGACAATGACCTTTCAGAGGTCAAATTGCTGACGAGAATTAGGAGCAATTATTTGTACGGCGAATAAAAAAAAAAATTATTGTGTACTATTTGATGTACATTACATAAAAAAAGATAAAAAAAAAAAAAAGATAGAAGATATAGGATTTCATTTAAAACGAAAAAAAAAAAAAAAGATTTCATATAAAGGAATAAAAGAAAAAAATTTTGTATATATTGGAACGAGGCTGTAAATTTAATTTGACTATTGCGGAAAGGAAACTGTTTATGATCTGCCGTAAAAAAAAAAAAAAAAAAAAAAAAAAAAGATTTCATATAAAGGAATAAAAGAAATAATAACCAAAATCCATCTGTGTATTGATACCCTAAATTCATATCTGCATTGTGGACAGGTAACAGTGGTGTGTTCGACCATTTTTCGATGCATTCTACATGCCCGGTTGCAAGTGAATCCATCAAAGAATGAATTTTTTTTTTTTTTGGAATGAGAAATTTTGCATGGAAAAAAGTATTTAACTGATACTGCCTTTTAGAAAGAAAATAATGTTTGGAATGAGAAATTTTGCATGGAAAAAAGTATTTAAGTGATACTGCCTTTTAGAAAGAAAATAATTTTTTTGGAATGAGTATTTAATTGATACTGTCAAAAGAAAATAATTTGAATTCGTGAGACATGGACAACAATAATGAATGTGTCATATGCTTGGAGGTGCTTATTGGTGGATTCACTTGGCATTGTAGACAGTGCACGGCAACCGCGCATGTAGAATGCGTAAAAAAATGGTCGAACACGAGTGCTACCTGTCCACAATGCAGGTATGAATACAGCGATGGATTGTGTGTATCAGGGTATCAAATCAAGGATGGAGTTTGGTTATTAGTACTAGTCTTGTATATGGCAATGCTGATGAGATGCCTTTTATATATGAGAACGAGGTTGTAAATTGAATTGCGGAAAGTTGTATATAGTGTATGAAATATGAGAACGAGGACGACGGGGAAAAAAAAAAAAAATTTCATATAAAGGAATAAAAGAAATAATAAGCAGTTGTATATAGTATATGAATTAATTTGACTATAGCGGAAAGTTGTATATGAAATATGAGAACGAGGCTGTAAATTGATTTTGACTATTGCGGAAAGGGATGCTTTGATGCTTTGTTTAAAGATCTTGGAACATGGTATTAAAATATACAATTTTAGATCATATTTTTGCCTTTAATTTAGCCTAATGTGTTAATTGTACTCATCAGTACACGGAAAAATCAATTTCATAGCCATTTTACTGACTTTTGAGGGTATTTTTGTAACGGATTTTGTATCTCCCGAGTCGCTTCCCGAAATCTGTACTAAAAGCTGGAAATACGTTGATGTGTGTGATGACGTCATGAGAGGAACGCGGCTCTGTAGACTAGCAAGCTATAATACACGCGACGCGATCTATGGTTACAACGAAGAATGTCTAGGACTAAAAACACGTATTGTATATGATTTGGAGAGCTCGTCATCCGATGAATTTGACGTAGAAACATTGATTGTGGAATGTGAAACAGAAGAGAACGAGGCAAGAAGCATTGCAAATCAAAATGACCGACACGAAAGGAAGAATTTTGATGAAATTCAACCGTACATGTATGAGCCAGAATGCTCCGACTCAGAAGGTGGTGAGAATGCAAATACCGAGCGTGAACAACAAGCGGTTGTGGAAAGAAATCCAGAAGAGATTCAACTTCGAACCCAGTCATTGAATTGGTCAGTAATAATAATATTAATACTTGAACTGGATACTACTAGTTTTTGGATCGTATATATAATAAAACGGGGAGTGCTTATGCACTCAGATGTAGGCCTATGCTTGTGTACGGTGTTTGATTCGTCACGTGTATGTACGACGAATCAGACGGCTGGCCTAGACTAGCTCATCTAGCAAAACTAGACCGACAGGAGCCTAGCTAGGCTAGTGTAGATAGTAGTGTCCTCCAGATAGAAATAAGTGGGATATGCCTGTTGTTATTTATGAGTACAATAAATTAATAATGCAGTCATAAAAACGTGCGCTGTTTTGCACTAGGCCAAGAATCATTTAGATACATCAGCCTTATACCTTGACTGGGGGATTATGACCGTTTGAGCCGTTTGAGCTGTTATAAAAGCAGTTTGGCCTATGTTTTGAAAAAGATCTATGTAATGAAAAGGTGGTAATATAATAAAATTAGAAATTATTTTCTGAGAATTGGCATGTTTAAGTCACACCGAAAGATATAAAAAAAATTAATAATAGCTGAGATGCACATTTCAGAATTAATAATCGTTTTTAGTATATCTTACTGAATATTTATTGTCTACAAAATAAAATATGAATTACATGCATCTTTAGAAATACAATTTCTACAATATTATTCTTGTTTTTATGTAGATAAATGTTCGATAAATTCTTTCTTTCATAAAAAAAAACACAAAAAAAAAACAAAAACGAAATTTAGCGCGTCTATTTTCATTCTAATCAATGGCGTTTGTAAACGTGCACGGACGTCATCGTCGAATCCCAGGACTTCCGACGGTAAAGTTGGCCTGCCTGCCTACTGTAGGTCCGTCCCAGGCCAACTAATAATAATTAACAAAATGTATTTTTTAAAATATAGGCCTATGGCGCATCCTGTACATGCACTTCAACTTTTACAACAAAAGCCTAGGCCTAGTAGGCCTACCTGTAGTATGTCCTACTGTACTTAGGCCTAGGCCTACACTTTGTTGTCGTCGGGGTATAATTCTGTATCTAAATGAACAAGGAGCGAACCTAGCTAGTCAACATCTAGGCTAGGCTAATTGATTTTAAAATCAATAACCCACCAGGACTATCTGTCGTTTTCTTCTTTGCAACAGCGGACGAAAAAAAGTCAGTTATTCTATAACGTTTCATGATTCTTTATCACTAAACATTAACAAACACTCGTTTTGACGCACTCCGTTCTGTAGCGTGTCTGCTGTTTAAAACAAACTTCCTAGCCTAATTTTGAGACTGGCTATGATGACTGAGATGGACTATGTTGATTTATTATTAATATTTTGTTTGGGACGAAAAAAAAAAGGAGAGTCCATTTCCCCAAAATGCTCCATCAGCACATAGTTTAGTGTGCACGATGGACAGTATGGCTATGGAATTTACTAACCACACAATCCACATTTAGGTGATTAAGTCGCAAAACTTTATTTGCATTTGGTGGATTAAGTTGCAAAACTTTAGCTTCGTTTGGTGGCACCATTTACTCTAGGTAGACGGCGACCGGTTTCGTTACCGGTTGGTACATTTCTTACAAACATTCAGCCAAAGGCCAGTGAAAGTTGAGACGGCAGCCGTGTTTTTATCGATGTTTGCCATCCTTATGTGTGCCATCGTAAAGGAATTGCGTTTTAATTTAAATCTCCGAACTTCTGAAGCTGACATATCCTATGAATGTAGGCTTGTAATGCAGACTACAATTTAAAAACGGGTGGGACTCATTCAAAAATTTGAGGGGGTTCGCTAGAAAAGGGGGGTTCGCCCGAACCATAAAAACCCCCCCTGGCTACGGGCCTGTATAATAAATAATTTAACAAAATAGTACAAATAACGAATAAGTTAATTGAAATACGCCGCAAACCAAACATAAAAAATAATCAAGTTATTACATTTTTAATACGATTTTGCATGACTATAAACAGTAAATTTAAATGTGTTAGGCCTATGTTATTATACAGTATTTACTATGGTTTTATAATTTATATATTTTTATTTTTGTACTATTTGTTAAACTTATATATAATAAATAATTTAATTAAATAATTTGACAAAATAGTACTAATAACGAATAAGTTAATTGAAATACGCCGCAAACCAAACGTAAATAAACACATTTTTAATACGATTTTGCAATTATACAACTTCATTTATTTTTATAAAAATGTAGTACATAAAATTACATTTTTAATACGATTTTGCAATTATACAACTTCATATATTTTTATAAAAATGTAGTACATAAAATTATCCAAAATTCTAATTCAATTACACAATTATACATCACGAACGGCAATACGAGCAAATCAACGACTGACAAGACTGTGGGATGAATATGTAGCTGGTATCCGGGGGGTTCATTCACTGATGACATCGGCAAGCTGACTGCATTCACTGAGAGACGCACTACATTCACTGAGAGACGCGCTTGGCGTTCCATAGAAATTACCGGCGGCTCAACTTGTCGGCGGCTTAACCGGTCATATCCCGACTGGGGTCTAGTAAATTACAGGAGGATAAGCTTATAGCTGTCAGTTCTCAGCTATGTTGCTGTTGTTGCTTCTTCCAGGCCTACCCTAACATATTTACTGTACAGAATGCAGTAGTACTAGTAAAGTTTGACCTATTGTAGGCTCCCTTATTATCCTTAATATTATACAACATAAGTCATTGAAAAAAAATCTTACTTTTTTTTGTATTTTGTAGGTGCCAGTGTGGACACTGCCAGATACTTCCCACATATCGGGAATGTAGATGCTGCGCAGAAATTACAGCCGTACAAAGACGACTAGAAGAAGGAGTAACAATGTACAGTATGACAGGGCTGCTTACAATTGTATTACAGAACACCATGGATTTGTTGCGGCTTGCTTGAACATTATAAAACTTGAAATTGCTTGGCTCCAGTACCGGCAACAATACAATGCCGTACATGAGGGTGCAGAACATAAACGCCATTAGCCTATCGACAATTGGCAAGGTGGTGTTGGGGATACTTGGGTAGGAATTTGAGAGTGGTGTTACCCTCATACGAGCACATTTCCCACCTCCTGGCTTGGAAGACGAATTACAGTTCACTGGATTTCTTGACTAATTTCTTCCAAGTACAGTATTGTAAATAGTAACCAGACTTTATTTTGTCTTATATTTTTAATATACAGTCATGTTATTTGATCATTATACAGCACAAAATAAAATTCTGTAGCTAATAAAGCATATAACCTTGTAATCATTGTGCAGTACTATTATTTTGGGTTGACTTGCTGGAAGTACTCATGAGATTGATTTCAAATACATTGTTTGCTGAATTTGTAATCGACTTTTGAATTATGACTGACGTAATGTTTGAACATAAAAGCAAGTACATCACAACAAATATATACAAATTAACTGCATAAGCTTTTAATATAGGATACAGTACTAACAACTGCAAATGAGAACCGGGAAATAAAAAATGCAATTTCATTCACAGATATATGTATATATTTTGGACGGATACATATACGCCTATTTCCAATAAAATTTACATTGGCAATAAGTGGTTTGGCTGCAACGAAAGACAAATTAATAGTGTAATATATAAAATATATAATATAGTTAACTGTAGAGTAAATTAATCTAAAATCGTTTACATCTACATCTGAGAAATGGAGGATATGATATAAAAAAAAAAAAATGTAAACAATCATCAACTACATATAATATTTAAAACTTCGCAATACATATAATATACAAGTACTGTATTATCAACAAAATGTATATATTGCAATGAAAGACGGACGAAAACTGGCAAGGTGCATATTGTGTTCTGGGATTAATTTTTCAATAATGTGGACTTGCTGTATGACCCATTACCACATGTAAATCATGAACTACTGTGATTGGACTGCACAGGAGCTACACATTGTGATAATTATAAATTATACAGTGTACTATACAAATAAACTACTGTATATAAAATGTTGTTTTGGAGGTTATATAAAACTAAATTAAAACAGTATTTGAGGTATTTGAGTAAAAATACAGATGAACAATATAATTATAATATAAATATATAAAATATGTCAATTATTTTGATATAAAAAATATATGCAAGTATTACCAATAAAATGTATATTGCATTGAAAAATGGATGAAACCTGGCAAGGTGAATGTTGATCAAATCTACTAGTTTATCTTTGGATTTCTGTTGCCATACATTAGGACTCTGCTTGCTACATGGGCTAAAAAAAAAACTAGTTGGTGTTGCTGTCCACATTTGGGAATCTGGAAAAATGGTTTGCAACAGCCACCTCTTTCTCAGGACGCTCAAAGCTTGAACACAGATGAGGCGGTGCATCAACAACTTTAACAGCTTCATGGGTACCTTCTGCAATTGCCGTCACTTCTAGCATCAGGTCATCAACATACCCTACAAAATATATTACAATACTAATATTTAAAAACACTTGGCCAAATAAAATTCACACATTAAAAATTACAGTAAAGAAAACACCTTACCAAATGTGCATTCTGTCATCACTTTCTTAATAGTATGTGCTCCTTGTTTTGCCTTTGGATATGCAATTGTGTATTGCAAGTCACCATCTTTCGTAGTAGCCTGTATGCGCTCAGAATTCTCATTGTAATGAAGAACTGCCAACAGAAGCCTAAATAAAATTTTTAACAATTTTTTATAACGTAATAGCAACAACCTGATACAAGTCAATAAATGCAAATGCGCTTAATTTAAAACAAATCAATGAATATAAGAAGCTCAGTTATTTGTTTTACTAGCAAACTTCCCCACGACTGGGGTAATAATGGAAATCATTCAGATATTTAAAAAAATGCTATGCAGATCATGTACTGATGAAAAGCACTTCAACCACTAGTTAATAATGTCAACTCACCTGCTCTTCATACCGGCATAGCCAAAGTGATACATCTTTGGAGCGAAGTGGTTCACTAAGTTGTGAAAACCTTCTACCCCAAATGTCAAATTTCGCTAGTCCCAAGTCTCCATTTCCTTTGCTTGAAACCACACTCCAGTAAAGGTGGTTGATAATGCTTCGACGCCATTTGAATACCAATTCAAAACCTTTTTTCTTCTCAAGGGCCACAAGTTTTTTTTTTAGACCTGAAAAAAAAAAAAAAACATTTGGAATGTGCATAATGTTACATTATTCACTACAGTAGTATTTTACCCACACACCTGAATATATACTACAACAATTATAGCATATAAATTTTTTTAAATGCATATAAAGAGTTAACATACCTTTAGCCACATGCCATATGTCAAAGTAGTGAGTTATAGATCCACAGTTGTCCCTTAACCACTTTTGAATCTGTGAGTGCCTGTCTGTAACTAAGATCCCAATTTTAACATTGCCATTTTCCAGGACAGTCAAGCAGCGTTTTAGTCCCTCCAGCTCCATATGGTAGCTTCCACCAGTTTTGTTGCTCTGGAAAATACATCAATCGGAAGAATAAAAGGCATTTTATTTTTTATGTTTTACCAACAAGCATCTTTTGGAGAAACACATCAAAACAATGACTGAAGCACTACCTGCACAAGTTCCATTGCCAAAATTTTATTTTTGTCCAGGTCCAACAAAGTGTAGCTCCCATACTTAGCTGAATGGCCCATACTGTCGCATCTAGCATCACCACCAACTGTAACGTCTGAATGGCGAGCTGCCTGTAGTAAATCTGCCTGTTTATCTTTCCAAACATTAAGTATTGCTGGTATCAGGAAAAGACGCTGATGACGGAAGTATGTGTGTCTTTCATATGATTTTACACCCCAGAAACGCAGCACCTTTAACACCTTACTTGGTAGGGCACCACTAAACAGTATTGCAGCACTAAGCAGCAAATTTCCAGCAGGGATAGAGCTTATATATGGCTGGCTTAACCACCGAAAGGTTCCTCCGCAAACACTACAAGATTGGTTAACAATAATTAAAGTCCCTATAAAAGTAGTTGCCGCTTTTGCACCTTTCCTACCACAAACTTGGCAGAGGGCAAATAGTGCCATCAGCATAGATTGGAACACAACACACATTGCCTCCTGATTTGCAAGTTCGAAATCTGGGTAATTGTCAGAACAGCTGTAACAAAAAAGTACAAACAAAAACACATTTAACAAGGAAAAATGTAGAATTGTTTTATACAGTACATGTCACATTAACAAACACATGTTTTGTGTACTAACAAATACATGGTTTGTGTACAGTACGTCAAGAATTCACAACAGACCTAAACTGGTTTTCCAATATTGCTATAATATGTTTGTAGCTTACTCATCCCAACTTTCGTTGCACTCTATGCTTGAACTTGATGCTTTACTGGGAAGGTAGTCCTCATCATTGCTGTCGTCCACATCCATATCTTCCTCATCATCACTCTGGACAGGAGTTGATGTTGCAGGTGGCATTAAAATATCGCATTGTGTCCCCCTGGACATTGACACTGGAGTACACTGTATAGC